GTCTAATTTGAGAGTGTCCAGCCTAGCTCAGCTGTCAGTGCATTCACTTCCCCTAATTAACCAAAGATCAGGACAGGACAGACCATGAGAGCCTGGGCCCTAGAAGACTGCTGCTCCACCCACAGAAAGAATGTCAAACTCTTGGCCCCAGGAGAGCAAAGCACTTGGCCCTGGCTGGGGGCCTGAATGGCTGGCAGGGAGGCTTGGAGGGGACCAGCATCCCAGAGACACTGTGAGCCTTGGAATGCCCACTGCTTTGGGCAAATGAATGGTTCACCTTTCCCCAGTGCTCACCTCAGCCAGCACCCTCAGGTAGACGGTAGGTAGGTGGGAAAGGCTGGGGAGCAGGGTCCTATGGGCATGTGGCACCACAGAAAGGCCAATTTGGGACTGATTCATGATGGCAGATCTTAGAGCTAAAAAGACTCTAAAGAACATTTCCTGAAACCTTGTCATTTTCAGAGGGGAATCAGGGACCCAGAGAAGGCAGGACCTTCTCAAGGTCCCCCAGTGAATGAGCATCAGACTCCAAGTCCATCCCTGCCACCACATCACATCAGTCCCCTCCCGCTCCCCCTAGCAGATTCACAAGGGTTAACTGTTCCCCACGGGGACAGGGAGAGCAAGTCTTGACTGACCTGAGACCACAGACAGATGAAACTACCAGGTTTCCTTTACGCTCTCTACCTGGCCTCAGGCCCTCATGCCCCAAACCATCCTGCCTGACCTGGAGCCAGGTGAGGCTCTCACCAAACTTCCCTCCTCACACCAGCCCAGCTGCGGCAGGAGCAAAACAAATCTGATACACAAACCAGTCATCCAGTTGAGCGCCGGTCAAGGGCTCAAGAATAACCTGAGAGTGCATGGAACAGTGAAGGGCCGACCCAGTGTGCGAATCCAGGAGGGCCGCCCGCAGAACTTCACCAGGGGCCCACACCGCGGGAGGTGGTGGGGCAGGGAAGCAGCAAAGTACCCCAAGAAGGGCCTTGAGGAGCCCGGAGCACGAGGAGCGGCTCTGAAGACCAGAAGGGCAGTGGTGTCTGCAGCACCACAGCTGGAATTCTGGACCTCCAGGAGCAGCCCAGGAGGAGCCAGGGACACAGGATGGAGCCTCACGGACGTGCTCTGCCCCTTCCTCCTACCTGCTGCACCCTCTGCAGTCACCCAGCTCCAGGGAGACACGTTTGCTGCTCGGACACTTGGTGATGGGTTTCATGTTAGGAAAAGGCAGAGTCAGGAGGCCTGGGAGACTGAGGCGCTACTGCGCCTGCCCCCACTGCGCACTCACGTGTGCCTGGCCCTGCACAAGCAGCTTCTCAGATGCTCAGCTCACCACAGCCGCGTGCAGACCTGAGCTTTCAACGCCTACAGCCAGGTGAATGGCGGAGTGGGGTTTTCCCCAGCTCGGTAGCATCGAGGGCTCCACTCTTGTCACTGTGCTGTCCACAGTCCCCAGCCCTGACAAGGAGGGCTGCCTGAGCAGGCTCTTAATTCCTTGAAAAATACATGTAAAAATTGTGTGCGAGGGACATTTGCATGTAAACAGTGAGCGGCAGCCGCTCCTCTGTTCAGAGGATGAGCGGCAGAGGCGCCTCGCCTTCTCTCTCCACGTGGCCACATTCACAAGACACGGGGACCCACAGGGTCTTCACTCGTGACCCCATTTAAAGCAGAAGGATCCTTTCTTCGGGCTATATCTTCCACGCAAGGGAACCAGTGCAGAAGCCGGTCTGTCTGAAGTTTGACCAGAAACAACCTCCTTTTACAGGTGTGGACGCTGAGGCCCAGTGAGGGAAAGCAACTTCTAAGGTCACCTGGAGGCAGCGGCGTGGAGCAATGTACTGAGGAGTCTAACGGGGCAGCAAAGAACTGCCCAACTGAGAACTGACTAAGAGTGGCCTGGCAGGGGCACGTGACGGCATCTCAGCTCCAGCCCAGACTGGCCTCCACCCCACAGGTGCTTGGTGCAAATTAGAACAAGGCGCGCTTTCCAAGCGGCACACAGCTTGACCAGCGGCAGGAGGGCTGGAGACTCACCCCACTCACCGGGGCTGCCGTACAGGGGACGCCGTGCCTGACTGTGCGAGGCAGGCGTGAGGGTCGTAGCACATACCAGGCCCTCGCGACCCTCAACCTTCCTTCAATCCTTGACTATTGGTTTGCCATCTGTTAATTTGTAAAAATATTTCTTGATACCAAAGGAGGTCATAAGCTATCAACCCCACTTCCATGCAAGGAAATCAGTTCTCAAAACAGGGAAGAGGGGCTGCTGAAAGGTTCACATATGGGGATACAGACACTCATGCTCCAAAATCGTAGGCAGAGGTCACGCTGCCGCCACCATACCCAGAGCCACGTCTCTCTCTGTCTTCACAAACAGAACGTGTTCCTCGGGAGGCAGAGAGAGAATGGGAGAAGAAGATCCACCCAAGTAGGTCCCAGGTTTTCCACATCAGCTGGGGCTTGGAAACCTTCATGAGGTGGGTCCAGAAGCCCACATTTACATCTATTTGCATGCTCTGCACAGGTGTTCACACAGACAACCTGCCTCCCCAGACCTGCTTCTCCTCTGGACTCCCATTCCCAGTAAGGGGTGCTCAGCTCCCCAATCAGAAAACCCCCTAGAAGACCCCTGGATCCTCCCCTCACACCAGTCTAGAGGCCACCAAGCACGTAGAGTCCCACTCCCGCACACCTCTTATCCTCTCCTCTCAGTCCCCACTACCACCACCTTTGCTTAAATCAGTTTTTCAACTGGTTTCTCTCCTCCAGCTCTACTCCTCCCTCCATGCTGTGTTTTACAGGGCCTTTCCAAAACCTTCCATAGGCTCCTTGCAGCCTTCAGAATCAGGCCCCGCCACCATCAAGCCTGCCACAACTTGGCCCCTGTCCATCAGCCCCATCGCACACTTCAGCTGGACCAAACCACCCGATGCTCCCTCATATACTGGCCACGCCTCCACGCTGTGCTCCCAAGTTCTACTGTATTCCCCAAATTCATATGTTAAAGCCCTAACCCCAGTGGAATGTGACTGTTTGTGAAAATAGGGCCTTTAAAGAAGTGATTAAGTTAAAATGAAGTCATCAGGGAGGACCCTAATCCAATCTGACTGGTGACCTTATAAGAAGAGGAAATTGGACCCATGTACAGAGGGAAGACCATGTGAAGACACAGGGGGAAGACAGCCATCTTCAAGCCAAAAAGAGAGGATTCAGAAGAAACCAACACTGCTGACACCTAGATCTTGATAAATTTCTGTTGTTTAAGCCACCCAGTCTGTGGTACTTTGATATGGCAACTCTAACAAACTAATACAGTAAGGCTTAATTTTTTTCTCTCTCTCTTTTTTTTTTTTTGTGAGGAAGATCAGCCCTGAGCTAACATCCGATGACAATCCTCTTCTTTTTTTTGCTGAGGAAGATTGGCCCTGAGCTAACATCCATGCCCATCTTCCTCTACTTTACATGGGACGTCGCCACAGCATGGCTTGACAAGCGATGCGTCGGTGCGCGCCCAGGATCCCAACCCCGTGAACCCCAGGATCCCAACCCCGTGAACCCCAGGGGTCACCTAAGCGGAGAGCTCGCAATTAACTGCTTGCGCCACCAGGCGGGCCCCTAATTTCTCTCTTTTTTAAAGATAAATATAGGGCCGGCCCCTGGCTTAGCGGTTAAGTGCGCGTGCTCTGCTACCTGTGGCCCAGGGTTCAGATCCCAACCCACCCACTGCTTCTCCGGCCATGCTGAGGCCGCGTCCCACGTACAGCAACCAGAAGGATGTGCAACTATGACATACGACTATCTACTGGGCCTTGGGGGGGGGGGGAACGGACGAGGATTGGCAATAGATGTTAGCTTAGAGCCAGTCTTCCTCAGCAAAAAGAGGAGGATTAGCACGGGTGTTAGCTCAGGGCTGATCTTCCTCACAAATAAATAAATGAATAATAATAAAAAAAATAAAGATAAATATAAACAGGCCTTTCTAATATTTTCTTCTCATAGCTCACTTTGAAGGCTACTGTCATGGGCAAGTGTAAGGAACCTATGGCCTGGCTGGAATTTAGAATACAAGCCTCAGGCCAGAGGAAATGAGGAGTCTGATGGCCTCTGGACCTCTCCCCTGTGGGCCTGAGTGTATCTGGAAGAATCAGAGAAGCACCCAGAGGGGGAGGTTTGCCGCAGATTACGCCTGGGACTGAGAGCCCCTCTTGCAGTGTTTCCAAACTCACCTGATCATAAGATTCACCAGGGGGCCTCAGCGCCTGGGGGTTGTGGGGTGTGGCTCAGAACTTGTTTTTAAGTGGGCCAGGTGATTCTCAGGGCCAGAAGCGAGAAACCATAGCCCAGGCCCTTCCGCACCAGGAGATGGGTCTGTGGCTGCAGAGTGAGTGTATCTGGGCACGCCTGAGCATCCCGACAAGGCGGAGGGAGGGAGGGAGGGAAGCCCGTGACCCAGCGCAGCCGGGCCTCTCCCCTGCCCGCTCTCAGCCCCATCTCTGCACTGCCATCTCTGGCCCGGCTCCCTCCCTCTGTCTGGGCCTCTGGAGACAACTAGTCTGCAGTTTCTGGCATGGCTGTATTCATCGATCAGTTTAGCGCCCTGCGTTCTTTGAATCAACAGGAGGGTGGAAGAAATGCCCTCGGCTTCCCTCTCGAATAACTCTGCAGAGTCCCTGACGCCCTTGTTTTTCTTCTGGGTGTGGCCCGCCCGTAAGTTTTCTCCCAGGCTCTGGGTCCTTAAGTGAAACCCAGGTTCCCCGCTCCCAGCGCAGCCGGACCAGAAGTGAGAATGCGGCTGACGGGCTCCGCGACGAGGGGCACGGCCACCGTCCTCAGGGTCTGTGCGCCAGGCGCGCGCGGGCACCGGCTGTGCAGGTCGCGGGGCTCCCGCCCTCCCTCGGGTCTGTGCGCCCCAGCTCCTCGGCTGACCGCAGGTTCCCTCCGACCCTCCAGGCGCATCCGTCCCACGTCCGACCCCCGCCCGGCTCGGCCCGGCTCACCCAGGCCGGCAGGTGCTGGCCCAGCAGCTCGCGGCTGATGAACTGGCGTTCGTTGTTCAGGAATTCGAAGGCGGCCGCCAGGCGCCCGAGCTTCCCGCGGCGGTTCCTGCGCCACCACATCCACAGCACGGTGCCAAGCAGCAGCCAGGTTATGCTGAGCCCCAGGTAGCCGGCTAGGTAGACGGGCGCCAGGTAGAACAGCACGCGCGCCACGAACGTGTACAGCTCGGGCAGCAGCTGGCTGGACAGGCGTGGCTCGGGGCCGGGCTTGCGCCGGGTCCCCGGAGCACTGGGGGCGCCGGGGGCGCAGGTCTCCTCCGCTCGCATCTCGTCGCCGCCGTCTTGCCCTTTCCAAGAGCTTCACCTGAGCTCTGGTCTGCGCGCCCCGACGCCTGGGCACATCTGTCCTCCAAGCGCGAGGATCGGGCCGCAGCACCTGCCTCGCCAACCCCGGCGCCGCCTCCGCGCACCGCGCTCAGGGTTCTCCGTAGCTCACTGGAGCGCGCGGCCTGGGAAAGCACAGCGGGCTGCGCCGCCGCAGCGCTCCTCCCTGCTCCCCGCCCACAGCTCCGGAGGTCTCCGCCCCAGGGGCGGGCCCAGGCGGAAGGGGGCGGAGTCAGGCCGCGGGGCTGGCGCCTCTTGGGGTGTAAAAGGAAACCGATGGACGAGGGCGCCCTGGGACCTCAACGTCTCGCGCAGGCACCAGCGGAGGGTGCAGTCGCAACACTGGGATAGAACCAGGTGCCGCCCCAGGCGGTTTATGACTCACCGAGGCATGTGGACAGATGGCTTGTCATGGATAAACATCACCTAAAACCTGTTTCGTACACCCAGTTTACAGTATGCAGTCTAGCGTAGACTCTTAGCTGGGCATTCGAGGGCCTCCCAGCCCCAGGCTGGGCCTGACCCTGTGTCTGAGCCCTCCAAGTGGCCCTTAGAGCGCTCCATCGCTGCCCCATCCTCTAGCATCTATAAAGCGTAGGCCTAGCCCCCAGCCCAACCTGGCCCAGCTGGGGCTTCTCCTGTGCCCACAACACCCTCTGCCCCACACACCCGCCCTCTATGCGGGATGTCAGTTTCGATCTTCATTCCCTGCATCATCAGACCGGGAGTTTCCGGGTGCCAGGCCCGTCCTGCTCATCTCACATGCGCCCAGCACCGCAAGTGATGGGTGAACAAGAGAAATGATGAGCAAGTCCCGGGGTGCTTGGGGGTCAGTTTTGAAGCCCATGGTTTCTATCCAATCCTTTCTGAATGATCAGAAGGGTGGAGGTCTGAACTTCCAAGTTCAGACAGTAAATCTCCAGGATTATGCAAGAAGAAATTTCTGTTGTTTTAAGCCACCCAGTTTGTGGTACTTTGTTATGGCAACCCTTGGAAACTAACACAGCCACCGACTAAGTGCCAGGCATTGTTGTAGGCACAGGAGATTCAGCGTGAACAGAATAGACAGGATCCCTGCTCTCACAGAGCTGACATCTCGTGGGGAAGACAGACAACAGTCAAAACACAAGAAAATAGCAGGTAGGGAAAAGTGCTCTGAGGACAAGGCAGTAAGTGGTGTGGCAGAGTGACCCGCCTGGGGTGGAGGGCTGTTTTAGCCAGAGTGATGTGGAAAGGGCTCTCTAAGGAGGTCACATTTGAGTTGAGATCTAAATTAAAAAGATTAAAAGTATACGTACAGTTTCATATTTTTAAAAAAACAATGTCTCATAAAAGCATCTCTTCTTTGGATTAGAAAGATAAATAGCCTCTGCTATGTGGATGTCATCAGTTTTACTTTTGCATTTCCAAGTGGGGCTAGAGTAATTTTCTTTGTGCTCGCCCTCTCTGTCAGACAGAATTCCCGGAGGGCAGCGGCTGTGTCCTTGGCTGTGTCCATACATCTTATGTCCTCAGTGCCCAGCACAGAGTCGACATACAGGAGGAGGTGGGAGAGCACTGGGTCAGAGCACAGTCTTTGTAATTCGTTTGCCTGAGTTTAAATCTAGACTCAAGCACTTACTGACTCCAGGAAAGGTCCTTAACTTCTCTGCCGTTCAGTTTCCTCATCTATCCTATAAAATGGGGATCATAGTAATGTTTAAATCAAGGGGTGCTTGTGAGGATTAAGTAAGACACAGTGTGTATAAAGCTGTACATCCAGATGGGGAAGTTGTCAAGGAAGACTTTGGTTTTGTCTGCATTGTTTGACTTTTTACAGCAAGAATGTATTTGTGTATTATCTGTATAATTTAAAAAATTTTTATTATGATAAATTACACATAACCTTATATTTACTATCTTATATTTATTTAGCCATTTTAAGTGCACAGTTCAGTGGTATTAAGTACATTCATATTGTTGTGTAACCATCACAACATCCATCTCCAGAACTCTTTTCATCTTGCAAATCTGAAACTCTGTACCCATCAACCAACCACCCATTTCTCCTTCCTCCCAGCTCCTGGTAACCACCATTCTACTTTCTGTCTGTATACCTCATGTAAGTGGAACCTCATATAAGTGGAATCATACGGTATTTGCTTTTTGTGACTGGTTTATTTCTCTTAGCATAATGTCCTCAAGGTTCATCCATGTTATAGCATGTGTCAGAATTTCCTTCCTTTTTTTTTGTGAGGAAGATCAGCCCTGAGCTAACATCCATTGCCAATCCTCCTCCTTTTTTCCCCTTTTTCTCCCCAAAGCCCCCCCAGTAGATAGTTGTATGTCATAGTTGCACATCCTTCTAGTTGCTGCATGTGGGACGCTGCCTCAGCATGGCTGGACAAGTGGTGCATCGGTGGGCACCCGGGATCCGCACCCGGGCTGCCAGTAGCAGAGCACGTGCACTTAACCGCTAAACCACGGGGCCGGCCCCAGAATTTCCAAAGCTGAATAATATTCCATTGTATGTATAGACCACATTTTGCTTATCCATCCATATGTCCATTGATGGACACTTGGGTTGTTTCTACCTTTCGCTATTGTGAATAATGTTGTTGTGAACATGAGTGTACAAATATCTCTTTGAGACCTCGCTTTCAATTTTTTTGGGGGGGAATGTATACCCAGAAGTGGAATTGCTGGATTATATGGTAATTCTATGTTTAAGTTTTTGAGAAACCACCGTACTGTTTTCCACAGCAGCTGTACTATTTTACATTCCCACCAACAGTGCACAAGAGTTCCAATTTCTCCACCCACCCTAGTTATTTTCTGGGGTTTTTTTTTGTGTGTGTGTGAGGAAGATCAGCCCTGAGCTAACATCCATGCCAATCCTCCTCTTTTTGCTGAGGAAGACCAGCCCTGAGCTAACATCTCAGCCCTGAGCTAACAACTATTGCCAATCCTCCTTTTTTTCCCCCCAAAGCCCCAGTAGATATCAGCCCTGAGCTAACAACTATTGCCAATCCTCCTTTTTTTCCCCCCAAAGCCCCAGTAGATAGTTGTATGTCATAGTTGCACATCCTTCTAGTTGCTGTATGTGGGATGCCGCCTCAGCATGGCTGGACAAGTGGTGCATTGGTGCGTGCCTGGGATCCGAAACCGGGCTGCCAGTAGCCGAGCGCGCGCACTCAACCGCTAAGCCATGCGGCCGGCCCTTTTCTGGGCTTTTTAATAGTAGCCATTCTAATGGGCATAAGGTGGTATCTTATTGTGGTTTTGACTTGGATTTCTTTGATGATTAGTAATGTTGAGCATCTTTTCATATGCTTGTTGGCCATTTGTCTGTCATCACTTAAAAAACACAAAAATACTTCTGAAGATGTAATGTACAACATGGTGACCATGGTTTAAAAAATACAGTATTGTATATTGAAAGCTGCTAAGACAGCAGATCTTAAAAGTTCTCACCACACACACACACACACACACACACACACAAATTGTAACTATGTGCTGTGATGGATGTGTTAACTAACCTAATTTTGGTCATTATTTCACAATATATACATGTATCAAATCATTACATTGTATATCTTAAGCTTATGCAGAGATATATATGTCAATTATATCTCAATAGAGCTGGAAAAAATTTTTTAAAAACAATGATTTGCTTTAGACCTTGTGCAAATCTCATTCTCACTCTGGACCTTAGCAACCCCTTGGGTCAAACAAATAGTTTAACCAGAGTATCGGTGAGGTCTGGTCCTGCTAAGGAGCTGCAGTTCTCTCAGTGTGTCTTGATCATTCACTGGGTTATCAAGCTAGGTACCTGGCAGTAGGTGGTTAATGTTTGTGAAGGAACACACACATGGATGAATACGTGAATGTGTTTGAGCCAAGAATAGGTTCTTAATCATATCATCTGATAAAAAACTACAGAGGGAGCTGCAAACCCATAGGCTGCTTAGCCTATAATCTTTTCAGGTCATTTATACAACAGCCAATGAAATTTGACAACATTTGTAAAGCATTGTTTGGGGTCCTGGGACGGGGGCAGGTGCAGAGAATGCACCTAAGAAATCAGTTACTTTACACTCTTATCACGAAAATATGCTGGAGGGAGTGTGTGTGTGTGTGTGTGTGTGTGTGTGTGTGGTGGAGCCGGTGGAGCAGCAGGGAGATTTCAGAAGCGGGGCTGGGGCATGTCCCTACAGCGTTCTTCATGATTTGACCCCTGCCTGCCACGCCAAGACCATCTCCTGCTGGATCCAGCCTGTGCTTCCAGTGCCGCCACACTTCCCACACACTCTCACACCCCAAGGGGAGGAAGGTGGCCCTGCGGGTCTTCACTGTTCTGGGTCAAAGTGGGCTTCCTGGGCACATCCCCCAGGGCCCGGAAACGTGGCCGTTGCTGCCATCTCCAAAGGAAAGGTCAGGCTCTGACTGTTTCTCTCCTTCTCCAACCTCATGCGGGGAAACGGCTGGGGGAATGACCACCTTGTCAAGGCCTCAGCAGGGCCTCCCTCAGAGGCCCACCCCGGGCGGGGTCTATGACCTCATATCCCTCCACCTGCACACAAGTGTGGTTCCAGAACCCCTCAGATAGCACCTGAAGGCCAGGTTTGGGGAATCGTGCCTCACCCCCTCCTTCAGGCTCCTCCCGCCCTGCCCCCTTGTCCGGCTGGCGGGCTCCAGCTTGCACTCCTGCAATCTTGACACCCGCACACGAGTCCTTTATTTACCAAAAGGAAATGAGACTCAAAGTTTCTTATTTTCTTATTGTGTTAAAATATACATACTATAAAATTTACCATTTTAACCATTTTTAAGTGCACAGTTCAGTGGCATTCAGTACTTTCACATTGTTGTGCAACCATCACCATCATCCATCTCCAGAACTTTTTCATGATCCCAACTTGAAACTGTGTACCTATTACACAGGCTGCCCGCTCCCCTCCCTTTGGCCCCTGGAAACCACCATTTTATTTTCTGTCTCAGAATTTGACTACTCTAGGTACCTCATATAAATTTGTCCTTTTGTGTCTAGCTTATTTCACTTAACACAATGTCTTCAAAGTTCATCC